TCGATTGGTGATGCACAAGACTATCAAAATTGTAATCGAAAGTCTTTGCTGTCTGCCCAATACCTTATCGGTTGTAATACTGATATTATTGCTGATGATAAATTAGATAAACAACAATATAAACAATAATAACAACCAAAATCGCCCGTCAATTTGGTGCTCCTGACGATGTTTGACATGTTGACCGTCACCGAATCCGTCCGCACGACACGGGGACCCTATCTGCTGGCACACCTGAATGACGTAATCAATTTGAGGCAGGCATTCCTGGCGGGATTGTGGATGTCAGTTAGGTTTAACTCTCAGGCCGGGGAAAATTGGAAATGAAATCTCGAATGTTGTTTCTAGTTGGAGTGTCCAAACACCAAGATGTTCATTCCTACATTTGATCATTACTTACGATAGTGAGATGGAGAAGGGTATACCCTAACATGATCCTGGGAAGGGGTAACTGAACTATAGGCGCGTTTTCATCATCTCGAGATTGCCAAATAGCCCACTATTTCTGATTTGGAAAATAATCCCGAAGTTACAAAGCGCGTCTTCATCAGCTCGGGATTCAACCTCGAAACTTAAAGCTTGACCTTGAGAAATTAGCTCAAGATATTTTGCTCAGCGTTCGGTCTGGTGAAGACACACCGGACAAATAGCTGGATATTTTGCCAAATAGTGGGATATTTTGCAAAATATCTTGGGATGACAATCCCGACCAAATATCCCGCTAATTGCAACTTCGGGCTGATGAAAACGCAAATTAGCTGGATAGTTTGCGATCGGGATAGTTTAAATAGCGGGGTATTTGGCGATCTCGAGCTAGTGAAAACAGGCCTAATGAGGATGATGGTGATGGAGTTGATGTAAACTTTCTTGTGGAGAAGTGAAACGTACTTGTCCGAAAGGCTCTACGTTCGAGCTATGACGGGCGCTCAGAAGTGTTGGAGTTGCTTCCGAGTGAAGAAGAAGGAGCAATAGGAATAGGAATTCTTGTAATACAGATACCTTTCTCAGACCATGTTTATTTAATTATCCTGATAATTAGTTATGTAAATAACAGGTGAGATCAGACACGAGAGAGCTATTTATAAAGCTTTTCTTTTCATTTCATTCCTAATAAGTTTATTCGAAGAACGCGAGTGAACGCAGAGACCGAGATTTGTAGCTTTAAATTATTTATTATATTATTAAAGTATTGACATATACAGAAAATGGGTGTCATCCAAGAACACGTTGTCAGTTGGAGATGTGTTGTAGAGTTGTTGTAGTCTAGTAAATAAGTAATCGGACTGTATAGATCACAAGGTACAGGGTTCAAATTTTAGACCGACACTAACCTCCTTTTGCAAGATGTTATTCTACATTTCCCAATCTCCACCCAGGTGTAAATGGGTACCTGGTATGTTTGAGCACTAGTTACTTTGGCGGCTTGTCTATAACCAGGGTAATAATGTATACGCGCCATGAGCGTCATTGCGTCACGGGTAATAATATTGTAAGCGCTTTTATTAGTGGCCATTTTATATTGTCTTTTCTTTAAAAAAAAGAATAGCTAAATAAAGACAACTTCAGCTCTATACTGGTTCTTCTCAAAACTATAAATATTATGCAGCATCAAAAAAATATTGAAAAGTACTATTTCACTGGCACAACCCCCCCCCCCCCACACACACACACATACACACACAATCTCTCTCTCTCTCTTTCTCTCTCTCTCTCTCTCTCTCTCTCTCTTCCCTCTCCCTCCCTCCCTCCCTCTCCCTCCCTCTCTCTCTCTCCACATTCCCATCCTCTTTCATGCTTGTTTTTATTGAATACATTGCATACCGAAACACACTTGTACATAATTACACCCATGTCTCAAAACTTGTTTTCTTAACAACTACAGTGGATTTTTGTTCACATGCATTGACGAGCTCACATTATTTGTTATAAATTTGTAATATAAGATGCCCTTTCGTGCAACATAGATGACTCTGCAAACATTATCAAGATGACACACTTAAGATCGGTGGCGGGGAGGAAAATTCTTTATTAGAATGATGTTACAAGTTCAAACAAAAAAGGAGAAGAAAAAAAATCACCCCAAGATCTATCTTATTGTCCTAATCAAATTGAAGTGAAACGTTATTAAATTCACAAGACACCCATTCAGTCACGTACGTACGTTGACTTTGTCAGTAATCTCGAGATGTCACGGGTGAAAATGCCTCCACATAAACATTGACAGAAAAATAGGGATATGCCTCGAAATATAATTGCCGAGTTGTAGATACGATACGAAATTGATAGATGTCTATAATTAAAGTCCCAGACTAGTTTTCGATCATTTCCTCCTTATATTGGAATCTCCCTCTTATATTTTCATTACTTCCAAAGTAAACAGACCAATATTTCTATTCATACAATTCAATACGATACTATAAAAGAATGTTAGATGTCAAGGAATATACTCGCAGACTGTTTTTCATCATCTTGCTCTTTTATTCCATGCCCTCCTTTTGTTCTCCATTATGTCGGGAAAAAAATCATATTCATCCAGTTTATCTTTTAAATACTCCCAGAGTAAACACATGCATATTTCAATTGTCTGCTGCATCAATCCTTTTACTGGTAGTACAAAACGAATTCGAATTCGGTTGGAGAAGAAGTAAAAAGCTTTTAAAATGCTTCATCAGTTATAAAGTAAGGCAATGAATGGGTAACGAGAGAGAGATTTGAAGAAAAAATGCACCCGTATGTGATTTACGGTAACCAAGATTCTAGGAAAGAAAATAAATTCATTGTTTGTTGACAAATAGAAGCATTATCAATAATTACTAGAATAACATATGACATTTTCTGTAAGCTATACAGTTATTACATGTAGTAGGCTAATAAAATGGTCTAAACGATGCGATCGCTCTGAAACTATTAGAGAAATTTATCTACCACTTTCCTCACACTTTCATCTTTATGCAACATACTAGTCATATATATATATATATATTGGAATGGATGGGGAAACAGAACAACCCCTTCCCCTGTTTTTCGTTTTTTATTATGTGTCCTTACAATTCTTACTATTTTTCTAATATACAGCACATGCTATTATTATTGAAGTACAGCCATGTGACAAGTCATTAACCCCCAGCCATAATGTTGGTCCTACCTAGTAAAAAATACTGCATGCAATTCGCTTTCTGACTCTTACGATACAGCTACATGTATTTATAACAAGTGAATTAATTAGTTTTTATCGAGGCAACTCATTAAATTTGGTTACATATCAAAAACAGCCTATTTATGTACTGCTTCTTATAGTAATATTGCTGGTTTCTAAGGAGCGATGATCTTTTTTTTTTTTTTTTTTTGTGAGTGTGGGAGGGGGGGAGCCTGCACGTGAAAGGGGCTTTAGCCCCAAAGCTACCCCCCCCCCCTCCACCAAACCTGTATTCTGTATTCAACAACAACAATAATGCAACCAAGCAGAGCCCCGTGTTTTTTTTTTTAGATAAACGAATATATCCAAGTAAACTTGCTCTAAAATACACTGCATACTTGTACTTTTACATCGAGTGAGTTGACCAACTTTGATCGTAAGCTGGCGCTCACCTTTCAAATGATTGGTGACAAGTTGAGCTTTGTAAATTCCCTTTACAAGAAATTCGAATTATTTTTCTTTTTAGATTCACTAGTATTTCAACGATTTGAATTATTCTATGAATTAAAGGTGTTCATCAACAACCGAGAAAAGTAAGAAAGTCATCAGTTGAGAGTATTTGTACACAAATAAAGATCAGAGATAAATACCTGTTTGATATTGCTCAAATTCCTGTAAAGTATGATAGGTGTATTTAAACTACCTATTAAAAATTTGCTCATAAGTCTTGAAAAAGTAATAAGCATATAAAATGTGAGTAAAAGATCTCTCCACTGAATTCGCAATGTGTTGAGTCCAATCTATATACCTATCAAATAAATAGCCGGCAATTGTCAAAGTTCAGACGAAGTAAGATAATCCAATCGAGGAATGGAGTATGGTACAGTACTGATGATGAACAATGGTCACAGCTCAAGCTTGTCGAATAGCGCCAGCTTTGGCATAGCTTCATCCATTCTATTCTTTGAATATAATGGACATTAGATTATTGATGTATGAAATATTATTATTGTAATCAATGAAATGTATCTTCTTTTTTTTTTAACGAACAAGATGTGATACCCCTCATAAGTGATGGCAATATTTTTATTAATAGCATGTTGTATTAAAGAGATTTTTAGTATCTTAAGTATAATCCTACAGAATTATAGGTAATTATGGATCGTACTTCTTCTGGGTACTATTGTTATGTAATTTAAAAGTAAAATAATTTTCATTATACTTTGTAAAAATAATCGGAGGGGGGGGGGTATGTTTCATGAAGTGACTTCATATCAGCAGGACATTTTGATTTCCTATTGGAACAATACCATAAACCTACTCCCCCTCCCGCATCTCTGTCTCTGTCTCTCTCTCTCTCTCTCTCTCTCTCTCTCTCTCTCTCTCTCTCTCTCTCTTTCTTCCTCTGTACCTCTTTGTGGTTGTTCTCTCTTTACCCGCCCTCTCTCTGTCTCACCGTCTTTCCTTTTCCGTTCTTCCTCTAAGATTCCAAATACTGACTTAAATCATTCAACTTTTCACCTCTTGACAAATCTGTCCCCTTTGAAAACAAAACTCTGCTCAGAACTAGAAGGGCGTTTTTATAAAGTTAACATGGACTTTTAGATTTGTACGTCGACATAGTGTTTTAACGCGATGTGACGTCCTTTTAGGGCACTGCCAGTCACAGTACCTTAAAAGGACGTCACTCTTAGCAGTACACTAGGTCGACGTGTAAATCTAAAAGCCCCTAATGTCCTTCTGGCTCTCAGCACTTAATAAAATGGCAAACAAGCACACATTTATCAATACATCTTTTCTCATATAGTCCCTTCTCTTGTACACATCAGCTAGTCAGCAAAACAAAATACACAAAGAGAAATGATTGAAATACACATCTGGCAATGGTTTTTAATTGTCTCTTTACACAATTTGCATAAACATCCGCGGCATTGTTACCACCACAATAAAAACAAAGTCATAAAACCGTTTTACCGACGACAGATTGAGAACAACGTGAGGATAATGGAGCTGAAAGTCTTGCTTGATGTTGTTTTTTAACCTGAAAACAATAAAGTATTTACAGCAGCAGCATTACACTTTCTGTAGCAAGTCACTTGATGAATAATAAATACTTGTACATGTATATGTGATGAGTTGTGATAAGAAGAGAGATAGAAATGTGCTTCAGAATCCTCAAAGGGCATTAACCTGGTATTGATATATCTCCGTTAACGATCCTCTAGCTCAAGCAACGACTTGCGTCCACTTAAATATCATACAGATAAGCATACAGAGATGTATATTTTCAAAAAACTAGTAAATCATATTAATTCTCATGCTGCTTATTCCTACTTCGGGATTTTCCATGGTCATTATTAAACATGGTTTTTGGTCAGGGTTATGAATAGGTATGCAATATAAGTTGTTGAAACAAGTTGAAATAAACGTAGTTTGCTTTATCTTGTTACCTGTCAGCTATCACAAAGTTTTGGTCAGGGTTATGAATATGAAATATAACTTTAATTTGAAATAAATATAGTTTGCTGTATCTTATTACAAATAAAATATTATGACTTTTTGGTCTGGGTTATAAATATGAATATGAAATATACTTTTAATTTTAAATAAATATAGATTGCTTTATCTTATTACATATAAGATATGACTTTTTGGTCTGGGTTATAAATATGAATATGAAATATAACTTGAAGTTGAAATAAATACCAATAGTGCAACTATATACTTTTAAAAGCCATGTTATACCTTCTCATGACTTTTTATGATGCAATGGAGAATATAATTTTTTCAAAAAAAGATATGGCAGACTCAAAGAGATTAAACCAGAATTACGAAGGTTTGGTCAAAATAAAAATTGGGGGAAAAAAGGGAAAAAATCTCCTATCCTCCTATTCAAAAGCTTAAATTACTATATGATTTCATACCGATGATTATCTTTTGGAATTTCTAGTATAGCTGTATTCAAGATCATGATTAGTGATGAATAGATCTAATATTACCTTTGATCTGTATCTTTAACACTGGTATATACATTCTTTCACTTCAATGTTCAATTTTGTCTTCCTATAAACATAAAAATACTTTCATACAATTTCTGGATATGAATTTCATCAATGAGCTATCAACAACCTAACAACCTGGAATTCTAGTTTCCACACAAAATTAAATATGTACATTATACACTAAAACACCATGTGCTGAGAGCCAGAAGGGTGTTAACTCATATCCTTCTATTTAACATCTTTCTGGCTCTCAGCTGACAGATATACTCAAAGGCAACACATTATACATTTCAAGTGATAAACAATGTATTGTGTAAACAATGTATTGTGTATACATTTAGATAAGACGTGAATCATATAAATGATATGCAGTTATGAAAGAAGAGCTGGCAAATATAAATAAATCAAATTTAATTTGAATTTGAAAATAAGAGTGATGATAATGATAAAAGGAAGTAGAAAATAGACTGCAACTCAGCCTACCTATTTCTGTGTTTCAAGAAATACATTTCTTTCCCTTTGATGCAAGATATTTAATTTTACCACGATACTTGATTTATTATAACTACTTCAAAAGCTCCAAGGGTATTGAACATTATAATAAGCCCAAAGAACCAATCGTTTCAGTATCCAAAACAGAGCATTCCTTCTAGATATTAAAACAAATAAGAATTTTATTCTATTCTATTCCAATATAATTTGTTAATTATAGTATACAAAGAAGCCTGGCAAAGCTATTTCGAGCGTATTTCAGAATGAATAAAATTGTTGACAAACTAGAAATAAATAATGAGATAACTAATTACTGGAGGTAGTAATTGATCTTCATAAACTCAGTAATAGTGATTTTTCATTTTTCTTTTGTAAGGATACCATATTTGATTATATATTCTCATATAGGACAAGTAAGAGTTGTGAGTTTTATATTTCAGATAATATCTGGATATATAGAAAGCTAAGTTTGGTAAGGTATTGAATAGATGGGACCCCCTAGTACATTTTTCATATTACCATCTTTAATCCTACACAGTTGTAGGATTCATAAACCATACTGCATTATCGATGAACACAACATAACAATCATTGTCACATTACAGTCTCAAGAAATAAAGTCAATATGTCAAACAAGATGATTAATGCAATTCACAATGATCTACACAGAAGATTATCTGTTCAGTGGCAAAAGGGCATTACGGTACCACTTCATAAAACTTATGACTTTATGGCCTAATGGCTCTCACTATAGAATGTCCTTTCTTTAAAAGAGATCACATCAACTGATCAACATGAATACACAACTTTTGACACTTTGGTCCAGCTATATCATAAAACAAAGGGATATTTTAGCAGTCGATCAAAGATGCTTTTCATAACAATAATTGATGCAAGCTACATGTAACTATTCCTCTCCTAAAGTGACGGTAAATTATTGTTGGTATAAATGCACAACATTAAAAATGGATGTGTGCCCAAGAACTTGTTTCCTCTCATGGAATGTATGTTACTGGAAGATGATTACGTTACTGCCGTATCAAGGTCTTGTAAGATGAAACAAACACTACCAAATAGATCGGTTTACTACAATATTCAAATTTATGGATGTTTCTTTTCAGGGGACCTAGTGACGAGTTATTCAATTAACTTGTTACTAATGAATGAACTAAAATACTTGAAATCCAGTCTGCATATAGTACATGTTGCTATGTCGGGCAATTTTCAGGTCTTCAAAAAACAACCTTTGCTCAAAAAGTATTCATACAATTTGAATATGTTAATAAACCGGTCTATTGATGACGTACATGATTGGAATTCCTGCATAAAGTCTACTGCTCTCACATCTATCCATCTCTGTCTTTGCTATCACACTATGAACAGTTGACAACATACTATTTTTTTCAATACAAAAATTACCATGACGAAACATCATTATATGCTTGAGAAACCATGAAACATGAATTAGGTATGCTGGAACTCAACAGGCGCTAATGTTGCTATGGAAACATTTTTTTCTTGCAATTGGGTGACTTGTCACTGCCATTACACACGTCACTTAAAGGTTAAGAGATTGAATATTGAAGATAATAAGCATTACTGGGTTACATAATAACATGATCATTAAACATTTGTATCCTTCATTGAGTTTGCCTGATGCCCGAGTATAATGGATGAGGGAATATGGCAAGGTACAAGTAGATATAAACTTTGTTTCAGAAAATAATCCAGGATATAAACCCAAATAAGCTTTACTATAGGTCTTATAGACCCAATATTTTGATTTTGATTTTGATTTCATCAAATAATAAAAAAATTCATTTCACAATATTAAGTGTTCCGATGTCAAACATTTAAAACTTTTTTACTTACACTTAACTGTTTTCTTGCACAGTGTATATTTTCCTTATTAATATAGATTTTATTAATCAATTTTATGCCTTTGCAATGAATACTGCACACTTTCATTCATTTTGTCTCCAGCACTATAGTTTTTTTTCTTCTCTCAAATCTTATAAAATACTTAAATAAGAGATTAATGAAGATAAGGATGTTGTAATGAGATTGTCTATTTATCCTTCTTTGCTCACCTTGGTAACATACCACTACATAACTCTGTATTCCAATTAATTTAAATAATTCTAAGCAAACTGAACCAGCAGTTTGGTTCCCAGCTCTAGAATATGAAATTAAATTTTAGACAATTTTTGATATCTACTTTATATCCTGCCTAAACTGGAACATGATCATGGTTACCACCTTTTTAATCAAATGATAATACACAGAACCCTTTGAGGCAGGGTATTTTATCAACATCGCTATACCCCTGCTGTAATAAATTTGTAATTGCGCCATCTATTGATGAAGACGTACATAGAAGGATTTGTGGTTCCTTTACCCAAGCATAATCTTGCACACGTCGTCGTGCAGTTGGTGATGAATTGTGGGACATGGCTGTCAACACATTAGGACATTATGAGCAGCAGATGGCAGTAGATGTAAATATGAAGTAGTGTCAGTAAAATACTCTGCCTTTAAATAGCAGAAATTTGAAATTAAAGACTTTTATAGAGTGCTACTTTTAAATAATAACCTATAATGGATATCAGACAAAAAGAAGCAAATTTATACACATGAATTAAGACACCACAGAACCTTCACAATATCTTCATCATCAAGTTCAAGTTAAACAATATATATAACAAGTTTTAAAATCAGACAGTGTGCAAGATAGAATGTTACGTTTGATAAGATATCCATTTTCAATAGCACTACAAATACTTACCAGCAAGTATAGAAGACAAGTAACAAAATGCTAAATACCTACACTCTCAATTAAATATTATCAACATGAAGAAGAAAAAAACTATCAATACAATATGTAATGTTTGTGCAAAAATAAATAGCTCTTTCTAAATCTTTTTTTGGTGCATGTCGGTACTGTATTTGTACAAAATACAGATTTGAACTCAATGTAAGATTCAACTTTGAATACTCTGACGAATGAACACATTTTGCTCTTCATTCCTACAGCTATTGTCCCAAACCTTAACTTGAATAAACCCTATCTAACTTTCAAGTTTCATTCATATACAATATTTATTGTAATTTGAAATGAGCCTGGGGAAATATAACAATGGGCAGAGAGAAAACAAATTCCTATAATTATATTCACTGTCTTGTACCTTTGTAACAATTTTGTTCATGATCGCAATATCTTAGCTTTAATAGTGAATTGCACTTTAAGCAGAATACAGAAATATGGTGACAAAAAGTCATCCATACGAGCTTGCCTCTCAGGTGTTACATCTGGTATAATGCTAACATGTGACCGCTCTACCTTATAAAACAAATTGATCTATTAAATTCATGATTGGTTCTGGATATAGAAGATAAAGCTCAATTGTTCTATTATATAACAAATAATCCTAACTAGCAGGTACATTATTTCATAAAATATAACCAAATCTGATAAAAACTTCATTTCTTTGCATTCTCAACTTTTTTATTCAATTCATACATTACATTGACATGCATCACGTAAAACATCTCTTTCAATAAAAACTTTCAACTTTATACACTATCCAAACAGGCAAACAACTTCACTACCAGACCCCTCTTCAAAAGACTTGATCATTTTTATAAAGCATTCTTCTGACACCGAGGGATAAGATCTCTACATCTTCCAGGCTACAAGGTTAAAATGAAGGATAGAAAGGAAGGAACGCTAAGATGAAATCAATCGTGGGTGTCTCGATCGCTCTCCTCTTCTGAACTATCGTCGGGTTCAAGACCCATGTTTATGATGCTTTCTTTTAACATCGGTCTTCCTTGATCTTTGCCTGTAAATACAATGAAAAGATAAGAAAGAAGATGAAGAAGATGAAGGGGATGAAGAAGTGACATCGATACAGAATGAAAGAAGGAGAAAGAAAGAGAAAGGGGAGAAGAGAGGGATAGGGGAGGGAGAGAGAGAAAAAGGCATCATAATTATGTTTAATAACATTTTACCCAGCAACTGCATTTAATGGTCCTGGAGGGTGTTTCATAAAGCTGTTCGTAAAGTTACGCATGACTTTACGAATGACTTACATATGAAAAGCCAAATGGGATGCTCATCAACTAAATTTGAACTGTGCAGATGTAGATTGACATTCTCATAATAACAAACATTTGTAATGCAAAGTATATTTTTTTGCCATAATTTAATTGAGATTATTGGAAATACAGTCACACTTTGTTAAAACATCAGGAAAAACTTTGGGCATCATATCTGGCACTTCATATACAAGTCATTTGTAAAGTCATGCGTAACTTTATGAACAGCTTTATGAAACACCCCCCTGGTTTATCCACTAAATTGGTGTTTGCCAATCACTTAAATATCAGATTTGCCCTAATACTATAGTCTACTGCCTGCCCTTGCCATGGAAATGAGATTTCACTTTTTTTCTGTTATGGAGTCTCATCAAATTTTATAAATGTTGCACATCTCTCACCACACTCTTTCCTTTACTCTGTCTGCAAAGTCTACATGTATCATAAATATTTTGTTGCCTTTGCCACGTTTTGATCTATTCTCATCCAACGGTATGAAGCACAATCTCCTCTATTTTGCCAGACACTTTACTATCGATTATACATCTACAAACAAGTGTATTTGTGTTCCCTGTCTTATTGCTTCCCACAGTGCACTCACCTATGAACTGTCCACTTGCCTACTTTTAATCTCCCTCCCTCCCCTTCCTTTCTCTTCCCCTCTTTCTTTCTTTCTCTTCCTCTCTCTCTCTCTCTCTCTCCCTCCTCCTTTCAACCGTTACATCCCTCCCCTCTCTCTCCGTCCCTCCCTCTCTCCCTCTCTTTCTCTCCCTCTTTCTCTCTCCCTTTTTCTTTTCCCTTCCTCCCCACTCTCTCTCTCCGTCTTCTCTCTCTCTCCCTCTCTCTTTCTCTTTTTCTTTCTCTCTCTCTCTCTCTCTCTCTCTCTCCCTCCCTCCCTCCCTCTCTCTCTCCCTCCTCCTTTCTACCGTTACATCCCTCCCCTCTCTCTCTCTCTCTCTCCCTTCCTCTCTCCCTCCCCTTTCTTTCTCTCACTCTTTCTCTCTCCCTCTTTCTTTTCCCTTCCTCCCCACTCCCTATCTCCATCCTCTATCTCTCTCTCTCTCTCTCTCTCTCTCACATAAAAAACTTCCTACACAATCATATCTCTCCGCACTACGTAATTGGTTGAGTGCAATATATGGGTCTAGTATTTGTACAGTCTCAGGATGAGATAGATTGATAGTGATAGCTAAGTGTTAAAGACAAGTCTCTTCGACTATCATCTCTCATCCTCCCTCCCCCTCTTATACCTCATTCTCCTTTCAATTCTCTAAATCTTACCCCAAAACCGACCCTTCTATCATTTCTCACCCACTCTATTGGTGATAAAAAGAAGAAATCTTCCAGCATGATGCCAAGATTCATTGGTTTTTTTCTATTCTAGAAGTAAAATGACATGACATAAATTCTGCCCAAATATATGGGCAGTAAGAGGACCAAGAAAAGAATGGGTGGTGAAATATTTCTCGTTAAGGATTTCTGGATTTGTCAAATTGTTATCCACCATTGACACATGCTCTGGAGACAATTGCTCTGTGGTAATTTTCCTCACTTACAAAGTTAATTAACTTCAACCCTCGATCAAACAATGTACCTCAAACCTAATCTAAATAATCTAAATAAAGCTATAACTCTAACCCTAAATCTCTGATGAAATAAAGCCTGGAGCAATTGCAGCACTGTCATCTATTCATAAACAACAACTCACCAAATATACATGTATGTCTAAAAGTCTTGCTGACATAATGCCTGTTTGGAGCCGAAAGGGCATAACTCCTATACTTTTCCACAGACATAATGCCCTTCTTGCTCCATACACTCAGATGATATAATTAACAACCCTGAGTTATTCCACTTACCTAGTAATCTTGCACGTACTACAACCATAACCGATTTGTCTTTATCTTCTTTATCGTCCATGCAGTGGATTGTGAAAGGTTCGGCCATTATACCCTCCTTGTGTGAGAGGAGTTCTAGTTGAATATCATGTCCATTATCTGAAGTGATAAGAAAATATGAAAGACATTTACAACCAAAATGATCACAACAATGTGGGAATACAATGGAAATGCATTAAACAATTTTGGATAAATATGGCACCACTACATTGAGATACATATAAAGGTAAAGAATTGTAGTTTGTTCCAGGCTCCGTCTTAAAGGTACTTTGTCCCATTTGCAGGCCAAACAAATGAAAAGGTTAAATTCCAACAGCATTTGAAAGATAATACTAATTTAGAACTTCCCTAAACTAAGGTGGGGCTTGAAAATGTCTTCAGGTGGGAAAATAACGACTATTAGTTGTCAAATCGACTTAGCTATAGAGCGAATAAGTAATAGTCTTGATTTTCAGACCATTGTACCGAATGGTCATACGTTTTATGCTGCGCAAAGATTCAATCAGTTTAATTTTGGCCATCACAAGAAGTGGGTTATTGAGGTAGACAAATGCTCATGTACCCTTTACAGCTCATTTCATGTATGTTATTACCAAAGGAGAAATAAAGCCAGTCAGTCACTCGATAGTGTCTGACAGTAAAGTCTAGCAAGTAAACGGTTTCCTTGCGTAATTTGAATATTAGGACACTGCTAACGTTCAAATTTCACAGATAGGACATTGATGACATATTCATAATTCCTGCAAAGTTCTACAGAATTTGAGGTTGGCTGCAAAAGGGACATAGTACCTTTAATAACGGTTGTAATTAATTGCAGCTTATTTGCAGTTGATATCAATTGGAACTATGTACATAAGACATAGGAGACTGCAAACTTGCAATTGATTAGAGGACTTGCAATTGATTGGATCAATCGTAACTCTTTATTAATCGGGGCCCTAATGAAGTTATATTGCATTATTACTGCTATTACTGCTGCTGCTACTACTAATACTACTATGATTTGAATACTAATGCTGTGCCAATTCTTCTCTTTACAATTAAAGATGGCACCCCATATTTTGTTGAAAAGGAGGCCTCACATATCATATCATAATCATCATGACCATTATTACAAACATTACTGACTATTGCCACTTTAAAAAACATCAAGTATTCTGGCAATGGAATAAATAAATGCTGGTCAATTTCCTTCAATAAAAACTGTCGTACCGTATGTAACCATGTATTACACAAAAACATGAGACATGTAAAGCAATTTCCTGGTACGCCACCTGAACTCCCATTAGATGTCATTGTATGATGGAACCAAAGGGAATCCCACCTGGACCGATTCAATTACAGAAATCGGTACTTCGGCGTGACGCAAATCTCCAATAATGATTTATGGCTTTACTTGGAAAGGGAAATGACACGTTACGAGTGTCAAGTTGGCAAAACAGAACAGGATTGCGAATGTTGCATTCAAGACTCTGGGTGGCTGAGAACACGCTCCGGGATATTCCTAGCTTCTTCCACATTTCTTTCTATTTCTGAGGTTGTTTACATCGACTGATAATAAACTGGTGGGAGGGGAAAAAATCAAAAGAAACATCCAAGAGATAGTGGAAATATGATTAGAGACACCTTTGTATAAAGACATCCTTCTTCATTTACATTTTTACAAATAACAGGATGGCAGAGAGTTCAAATACTGTACATTTCAATAGATTTGCGCATCACCCATTGAAAACCATGTCAATGACATACTTCCGTTAGCTGGAGATGATTTTTAAAGACAATACTTAGGGTCTTGAATTTGCCCTTACAAACTTCTGCATAGTGCAACCCAAGCCTACTGTATAAAACTTCTGCATAGTGCAACCCAAGCCTACTGTATAAAACTTCTGCAAGTCCTCGTGATCGTATCAAAGACCCTATAAAAATGGGAAAACATAATTTTTTTGAAGAAAGAACACTTTATTCCAGAAAAATCAGTTTGGATTAATGAATAAATTAATTTAATGACTTCATATCAAGAGGGTGTACTCTCACTATTTTTTACTTTTGATCTTCTAAACTTTGTTTAGGGTTGTCTGGTCTTTTTCTTCTTTTTTTTTTTATCTTTCTGGGTCTTCTAAATCTTTTAATCTTTTAATGTTTTTTGTTTGTTATTGTTTTGATTTGCATATTCATGTAAATGTAACTAAATGTTTTTTGCTACTCTCCTCTTGCAGTACTTTTAACTGTATTTCGTGACAAGGCTGTCTTAGTATTTTATGGTACCTTTGATCCCATGTACTATGAATTGCATCTGTGCTGTATTTCTGATTTAAACATGTATATGCTTTTACTTGAATCATATAAAATTGAACTTGAACTTGAGCTCTATTTAGCAGTATGGGTAGAGGAAAAGGTACAGACTAACATGATAGGCTGATCAGAGTGTGTGTATGTGTATTGGGTTTTTACAGACGTGCATCAATCAGATATGATTATTTACGCACGCCACAACGCCACAACGCCTTTAAGGCTTTAAATACTCTCAAATGTCATTGTCTTCCATAAGATAGTTAGCCAGGCATGAATTGAAAATGTGGTTCAAAGAAGGTTATGAATAATATTTATGAAATTCTTTTCCTGAGGTGGAATTCTTCATACATGTAAATATATTATGAAATGTTCAAACAGCATACCGCAAAATCACTCAAGTGATGACAGTTTAGCGAATAAATTTGAAGAGAAGGTTTCACTCACTTTCACTGCACATCCTCTCCATGAGAAAACAAAAAGACAAAGAAACACTGCATGAAATTTCGACAAGAATTTCACTTTCCAGAAACGTTTTTCCACCCTGTCTTGGGTTTTGGGGTGATATTACCATCAACAAGATTGATCTTGATTTGGCATCATGTCATGCTTAATCTTGTGTTGAAATTCAAGTACCATTTTTTTAAAGATGTCAAATAAACTCTCTAAAAGCATGTTCAGAAAACAAAAATCGGATGCAATACTTGTACAAAGAAACGTATAAAGAATCATTGTATAACGAAAGGAGCGTATAGACTAGAAAACAACATTGTATAAATAAAAGAAACAACATATAAAGAAACTAAATTTGAAGAGGACAATTGAAATGACCGCTGGCCAATCAACAGTGTGCTCTCACAATAGGCCCCGCCCACTTATACAATTTTTGTAGGACACAACATTGAGACTAGAGTGGGACCCTGCATGATTCTCTAGTGAGTTTTGTTCAAAATGATGCTAAAAAATGTGTTTCTCTATACAAGTCTCATTATACGTTTCTTTATAAGATGTTCAGACTACAGAAGCAATTTAGTTACTTATCATATAGCTATATATGTAGGCAAGGTAATCAGCATCATGAGATCGGGAGACCACAGAATATTCAGAGGATGGAGGTGTGATAAATATATCTTACAGAATGTCAACTATTTCTGATAAGTTTTGAATCATATGCATGCTGAGAACTAGACAGGCGTTGAGAAATTTTGCAGATTATTAGGAGGCAATGCCCTTCTAGCTAACATCAGGATATCTCAGGATTATTTTGATATCTAAGGAACAGATGCTTGGAGGGACACAGGTCAACTTCTTGCCTTGACATATATCTTAACAGATATAAGAAGCCCTGGCAAAAATAACTTTAATATGATTTAAAGACATTAATAATAATAATAATAATCAGATAGTTTTGTATAATTGCATGTCTTTATGAGCTTTAACAGGATACAAGAGGAGACAATACCGGTACCTGAAAATTACTATTTTGGGGGCATAAATATTAGATGTTATTATGTATTTTTTTCTTCAACTTGAAACATAAAGCTACTCACATCAGACCCCCATCTTTTGTTATAAACTTTTCATTAAGTCTTTCTGTACATAGTGATTTCAATCTGTGATATATTTCATAGTGTCTGTTTAACATCCCCAAGCTTTTCTTCATCCATACAAACAAAATGCAATATAAAACTTTGGACATTGAAATTTCCTACGGCTCTGACAGGACATAACATTTTTAAATTTTCCATTTCACCGTTGTGAACGTTAGAAACACGATCCTGAAGGTTCTGAAAAGATTGATCGTCGATACGAAATTCAATTCTACTTCTGCTAATGGAAATCATAAAAATCTCCATGCACAGTGAAAGGTTTCTTTTTATAGTCCACGTAGTTTGGGTGAGCCAGAAAAAGAGATTTGTCATATGTCATTGATTTTCATGGATAAGAAAGCATAAAATGCTCAGTGGTAGAGTAGTAGTCTGGTTAACAGACGTATCCAGATTTGTAATGGTAGATGAGTTGGTAAACCAATAACCTCTCATACTAAATTCTATACCTGGTTACCTGGTTGCCGCTGTCAGTTGCTGGCGATTGGCGACCACATCTGCACATCTTCTTGTTGTCTTTCTCCATTTGTTTCTATCCTGTGCTAACCTTTTAGCTTCTGAGTATGTGAGACCTGTCCATTCTTTGATGTTATCAAACAACTGCTTTCTCTCTGCTTTCTATAGATAGGACTCAAACTGCAGGTTCACTTGTTGGATCTTTATTAAGGCAATAAATCTTCAATTACCAAGACCTTGGTTAGGATGTTAAAGGCAGCAAGTCCCTTTGCAGACTTGTGCAAACTCTGTGAAACTTGGCGAGTGTTTAAAATATATCTTTCAGATTTCATGTGTGAAATTTTACATTCATAAGTTATGAAACTTCTTTGTAAGAAATGAAAATCCATCGCTGCTTTCATATTGCCACAAATTAATAATTAATTGCCCTCCGCGTAAGTTATTTTGTTTGGCGGCAGCATATTTTGAGGAAGGTTGTTACTGCACTTCTTATTGACTCTCAAATTAACTGATATAACGGTCAAATAAATTTTGAAATAGGTGCAAATATTTTTTTAGTCTAGAAATTAAATATCTGGAATTGAACATTCAAAACTTATTTGTTGAAAGCCTGTTTCCATTCATTCATTTTGTGGGAGGTTCCTACTAATAGATCTCATCAATATACCATCTATGAGCATAACCGTGTCTGTAGCAAATCATTTTTAAATCAATCAATCAAAACAAACAAAAAGTATCTTCAACATA